GTAAATTATTGATTTTGTTAGTGGTAAATTGTTTTTTCGCATAAAATTCTTGGCAATTTTTTTTCCATTTCGAGCAAAATTTGAATTTTGCTGGTTTGGAGCTTCTAGGTTAAGTTTATGATACTTTTTTCTCAGAGCAATTATATTTTTCGATTACTAAGTTTCCTTTTTTCCTTTGAAATCTAAAATTAGGTAATTCGCTTTCAAGATTACCTTGGTGGATCCATAATGGCAGCCATTCCCAAGAAAATCAAATCGTCCGGCCAACGAACTTCTTTGGGACCGGAACCAAACTTCGCGTTCATAGAAGCGTTAAAATGTGCATGTGCAAAAGCAATAACACGTCGGCCTGCATTTCCCAAAGATTCCCAGGCTGCCTAGAGTAAATAAATATAATTTTTTTTGGATATAATCAATCAACAATGCATACTTGACAGTCTTGTCTGAATTTCTCATCAACTGCAACAATTTCTTTTTGAATTCGCGCTCTTTTACACATGCCCAGAATCACTTCAGGAGCGCCTTTCACCATCACAACATAACGTGTTTCTTTCTGAAATTAATAGTGAAAGATAAAGTTGACTGGATGGGTAAATAGGTATGTTTACTTCTTCTGGCTCGGGCAAATCTTCCGCTGGTTGTAGATCGGCGAGACATCGGCACACGACAAGCTGCCAGCGACGAATTGAATTGAATGGAATCTCGTGTACGGACTGAAATCGGGAAAGCTTAAATATGATTTTTTGGTATTTTTTTACTCAAAATTTTACCGAATCTGCTGTCTTAGTATACGCCAAAAAAATTTTTTTTTCTCTTTTTAAAAATCTCTTGACTTTCTTAATATAAATTTTTATGATTTCTTTGAACATACATGATATCTTTGACGAATAGCTTCCACACTAGCGTTTTGTTCGACGTACTTTACCAAAGCAACATCACTTGGTATCCCAAACACATCGTTTTTTGTTCTTTTTGATCGATGGCGGCAAGTAGGGGTAGAGTGATCTGAAAATGGTAGAACATCCTGTGTTCTAGAATTTTGCTTTTAAATGCCTTTTTCTCCTAGTAAAAGTTGAAAGTACGTTTTCTTCAAAAATCTTACAATATGAATGTTAGAAAATTCTTGGAATGGTAAATTCTGGATAGAAAAAATTGTACTAAGTTGGGGTCTGTGGTTTTTCAAGCTCATAAAAGTCCCAAAAATTTAAAAGTTGTGGCATGGTCTGTTCATGGCTAGAAAGACTAGTTCTTGCTCCACAAAATATTTAGGTTGATGGTTTTGTTTGGTTGAGTTCAAAATTGTTGAAGTGGAAGTTGTGAAGAACAAAGAAAAGTTCGCCTTGATTCCCAGAATTTGTTAATCTAAAACCTTACCCGAGAATTTATGCGCTGCTTGCGAATATTATTTTCGTTCTGCCCAATAGGGCTTAC